CTTCGGATCCCATCCCTTGCTTTTGTGGAACAGGATACTCCTAGCGTTATCCTTTGGACTGCGCCTTCGATAACGTTGAGTGACCTTTCATCCCGCTTACGCAGCGATCGGCATGGAGTCGGGTGCTCTTCTTTCTCCTCTATACTCTTGAAATCTCCCCAAGCCGCTCGTTTCCTTCTGCTCAGCTCTGAAGCTAGGTCATTCATCATATTGATTTCCCAACAAAATAGATATAACTGCAGCATCCGCAGATATTCGTCCCATTGAGCGTGAATGGGGCATGCGAAAAAACTCGCGATACGTCAATGATTCTTGTTATCGTGTGGATGTCGTCCATCGTACTAAATCCTCTTCGACACTCTGCTTGTTCACATGGCTGTCCTTCGTCCAGTATTTTCTCAATCCTGTTTAGAATGATTCGAGTGGAATGTTTGTAGACGACAGACAGCAAGGAGATGAGGCGACAGTTGCCCATATCGTCACCCTTCTTGAACAATAGCACTGCCTTGCTTGTCTTCCATTGAGTAAAGACCTTGCATTGAGATACGCAACGTGTGAAGAGCCAAACCAGTATATTTACTAGAACTGGTAGAATGTTCTTCAGATGTTTTGGTCCTATCTTGTCTGGACCTGATGCTGTTCGGTTTTCCACCGACGAAATTGCATTTCGGAAGGGAGAACCGGTGGTACAACATATCCATCCTTCTTTATTTTATATAGTCAGAAGGTAGACGTGGTTATCGAGGAGATCCGAGTAGTATTCGTGAATGATTTTCTCCATTGCTTTTCTGGACGCCGCAACTGTTTCGTCTGGGCGTCGGAGTGCAATCATTTTGGTCTTGTAATTGGCGAAGCTTCGGTAGGCATTGCAAATGCTTTTGCCAGCCTCTGCGGCTTTGACCATTACTGCTGCTCTTGTTTCTTTAAGATCGTTATCGTTTTTTATATCTTATCTGCACTGTTTTGCAAGTTCGGACGTTAGTTCGCGGTTGCCTGCAGCTCGTGCGACTCCACGGTGGCGTATCAGCTCGATTGTTTCTGGAGACAAGCATCTCTTGGTGTCCTTCGAACTTTCACCTTTTATTGCGCTAACGTGAAGATGTTGAATGAGCTGATCGTATTCTTTGTCGATGTTACTGACAACGGCATCTTCCCAACAGCCGACTCAGACAGCCGCTCACCATGTTCCATTCTAATCCATGGGTCCTAATGTGACGTTCTTCAAACGTTCTCCTTAGTCCAATCTTGGCGTTGAAATCTCCAATGATGACCTTGAAGAATGTGTGGTCTTCTGTGTAGAAATTCTCCACGTCTATATGGAACGCATTAACTTCTTCTTCGTCACAGCTTAATGTCGGCGCGTAAACGACGAAGATTGTCAAAGTCGGTATTGAAGCACACCTTTTTAATCTTAAGCGCTCAATTCGGGTTGCAAGTTGTTCGAATGAATCGATGTTCATAGACAAACTCGTGTTGACGAGAACGCTGACACCGTCGACTCCTCTACTGTCGCATGTTCCGAGAAACAGTTCATCTCCGGTGTCAAAGATGGCGTTGAGAGGCTGGCGCCTTCTCGTCTTGGTGAAGGCAATTACGTCGTCCTTTATTCTTCTTGCTTGCATGACCAAGTCTTCTATCGAGGATTCGGATGCAAGTGTACGTGTATTGTAGGTACAGATCGTCACCAAAGTTCGTTGTAATCCAGGCAGCTTCTATTGGCCTTGAGATTTTAGCACGCTGGCCGTTCTCCTCCTACCCAACGCTGCGAAATTAAGGGTCTTTCGGGGTCAGGGGAATGATGCCCATTTTTTTTACCTGTTTAGCATTTTGATGCCTATGTGTAACTTGATGTGCTCTGAACGTGGGGGCTGGGTATGCTCACGGGTATCTTGCCAGGCTCTCCCAGAGTGGACATAGACCTTGTAGAATACAATCCGCATAAGCGAGAACGCACTCACACACGCATGCATGAATACGCCTAGCAAATACAGAAAGTATGTGCCAAATCGGCCTAGCAGAAACAGGGATTGCAGCCCTGGATCCATCTGCGTCTCAAGCAAGCAAAGGTCGCTTTCGTTTCGCGATTAACCCCTTATCCTCCATCTGGGAACGCGTCACGTAGCCTCGCGACTAAGCTGCTCGAGTTCCCTCATATGAGGGAAATCCGTGGTGTGGTTTCATTAGTAGTGTTAATCTTTCTAGGAGGCAAGCCTCTAAAATAGAAACAAATTCCAACTTTCTGGCTTATCCGTTACCTTCAAAGAAAAAAGTTTACCTTCCCTCTACATTGGTTGCTTTGAAAAGGATTAATCCCACATGGTATATCCCAGGTTAGTTATTCGTGACGCAATGTGGCTCGTTTTGGAAGCGTGAATGATGGGTGCAAAAGGAAATAAAGGCCGCCATGTGGACCTAACATGGATGTGGATGCATAAAACATGCTGAAAAAATCTTATGCATTTCTATTCGCAAACTACCATTCTTGGGTATGCGATTGCATTCTTCTTTGGCGAGCATTAGCCTATAAGCCTAAGGACGGTTAACTAGCAAATGCGTAGAATTTGCCTTAGGATTGCCTCGTTCAACAAGTCCATTTTTTAAACTAGTGGGGCCAAAAAAATCATGGCACGCCTCATTACTTACAATACCAAGGCAAGGTAACAGTACTGGTTCATGGCAGCGACGAATTAAGATTTTACGGCGGACGTTACGACTCCCTTAATATCCATGGCCCAAAACGCTATTCAGTTTCAGTGAAAATTAGTTTCCCACTTAATAAACGCTCCAAATATTAAAAACAAAATAGTAAAATAAGGGGCAAATAAATTATTGGAGTAAACAATGATTGCTTTGTATAAAAAAGCCAATTCAATTTCAGAGTGGTTATTTGTGTTATCACAGCACCGGCAACCGGCCTCGTCTATGATGTATTCATAGATTCCATAATGGTCTTTAACATCCTCATTATTACTTGCTATATTTTGCTTATTTACTTTTTAAAAGGTGTTCGTTTAAGTGAGTTGCCACAATGGATCAATTACACTGAACTTTTTCCAGTGGTCACTTAAAGGAAGAAAATTTGTAAAAATCATAAGAATTTAAACCAATTTCTTTCCAGGCAACACTAGTGTGAAGCAGATTCATCGCTCGTTGATTGTCACCAGTTCGACAGTTGTGTTTGGCTGGTTCAGTACGATGCTAATTGTAGTGATTGCAAACTTTTTGCATGTCGAAATTGAGCGGATATACGTCAACTTACTCGCTGGTCTTTTCGTCAATTCCTCATGCGCCACAAACTTCTTCGTTTATTATGCAATGAGGTGAGTAGAAATATAAGTATAATACCCTGCCATACAAAACTGTAGTAGGCAGCAAATAAAAAGTAAGCATTCTGATTTTAACTACAGCCTCAGCTTAACTAGGTTCAATGCCGATGTGTACTCCCCAGATCAATCCCGTTGACAGGCGACTGCTGATGGCGCTGGTAGTTAGAAAACTAACTGAGAGACAGGCGAAACGAAGGACCCGCATGGTATGGTGGTAAATCCGTTAACCCAGGAAAGGAAAGAAAGTTATATTAGTCATCATAGAAGTTATATTCCCCAACATACCCTGCCGTTAAAAAGAATAGGCAGTAAATAAAAAGGTTAAAATTATCTATGAAGGTCTTTAAACATTTTTACGCGTTGCTTCGACAGGATTTTTTTCCCTTCATCAAAAATGCCATTGAATGCCGGTTGAGTTGAATTCTCCCGAAAATCGGAGAGAGCGGTGCTAGAGCACTCCTGCGTATATTGAAAAAAGTGAAAGTTCTTCCACAAAAGTCTGTAGCAATTTCCCTACTTCAGATAGCTGAGGGCGTTAGTGAGCCAACGACGGTGTTGAACCAGACCCTCCATAGGTTAGGCTGTCCGCTCAATGAGTGAATCATTGTCATTGTGCCACCCGATAATGAATACCTCCTAACAGTTTACCGCCTCATCATGGCTGGGAGGTGTTCCTGGGAGTCGCGCTGCGATGTACAGCATGGGGATTCGTCTCCCTGGCAGGGTCTCCCAAGCTGAGAAAAAGTCCGACGTTTCCATCAGGAAGCCTAGTTAAGAGTAAACCAATGCCAGGATCCATCACCGTCTTGGTATCAAAGTCGCATGGCGGCAAATCTTCCTCTGATCTACAAAGGCTGCGGCTGCCTGTAGTGGTGAAGACCTGAGGCAGACTTTGGTTAGACTGATCTAGGGATTCCAGGCAACCACAATGGCTTAACCAGCAAATTTCCAACAAATGAAAATTATGCTGGTGACCGCGCAGCCAGTGAAGATGGGCCATTCAAGTGTCAAGTGTGTCAAGATAATAAATAAGTGCTACAAAAACTCTGCTTTTCCACTAACGTCTTGCCATTCCAATAGCAAATAGTTCCGACAAATTAATACATATCTCAAAGCCTTTTCTAGCGCCACATTCTAGCAGAAAGCATATACATTGATGGCAAGTTCCTCCGAAGTTTTTCTTTTTTGTTGACGACATTTTTCATCTTTGCAAGCACTGTAAGTCAATCTGGAACAATGATCAATGAGCTCAGTGAAGCGGTAAAACATGCTTGCGTATGAAATGAAAGAAAATGCATGACATAATAAACCCAAGGTGTGAAGGTGAATAAATCAAGCTGGTTCGCTCTTTTACTACGCACACAACATCAGCGTTATCTTATCATTTAATAAATAAGAACATGACATAAACAAAAAATTACACGGAAGAAGGAAGAGGAGAGCGGGTTGCGTCTGGGCCTATTGGAGAAGCCAACGACTGGCTAACGGGCTCTAATGTCTGCCAACCGTTTTGGTCCTCCAAATCTCTGTTATACAACAGAGGTTTTCGTAAATACTCCGACAACGGCAAAAAATGTGCACGTGAATCACAGAGCCCTTCAAGAGTGTCTTCTGAAATTCAGCCGGCACTCACAGCGTTAGCCAGGATGCGCAGCTCTGGTCCTCAAAGCCTATCCCACTTTCGAGACATATAGACGGACACCTATGCACTTATGGACCGGTCATATAATCGGAAGAACAGATGACATATAGACAAAAACAGCTGTAAAGCAAGCTGAAAAAGATGGAAGCGCCTTCTCAAAAGGCCACCTGCAGCATGAGCTGAGGGTTTCATAGTCAAGTCATCTATCATTAACATCATCTTCATTAAACAAATCGAAATGAATCTTGGATCAAGGAATACGCCTGTCGAACCTCCTATATTCGAATTTGATCTACATCATTAATTCTTCGTATTCTTGTTGAGCAAACGCGAGGTGTTACTTTTATTCTTTATTCACGAATAAGCTGACGTTTCGGCGGATTTCGCCTTCCTCAGAGCCTGGAAAGGTCAATTTGACAGCAATCTATTCGGCCAAACACCTCCATAACCAAACAGATAAAACTTTAAACCAAGATTTCAATCGCTTTGAACACAGCTTTGCACACTCACCGCTTTCTACGAGACCTCCACTGAGTGTGTCGCGTGAAGACCAATCGCACAGAATTCACATGGAAGCGTAATGTGCCCCTCCCATCAGAATAACAGTCTTATATACTGCCCAATATCGAGCGTGATAATGAGGCATTCTTCCCTGCGGTTCATTCTCGGATTTCTGAAATTAATCCAGGTTGCCTCGAGAGTTTTGCGCGCTTGTGTTCCTGATTCCTTGGCGACAATCGTGACACGTACTTCAAAATCCTCCCCGTTATGTCTCTGGGTCCTATGCGTGCCTAGTGGGGTATTTGGTAGACGTTTGCCAACTAGCTGTTCTTTTATGCAGACACAGAGAGGTCTGCCCGTTTCGCCAATATATTCGTCTCCGCACGCCCTACCGGAGATCACTGGATCAATCCCGAGGTTAATAGAAAAGTCAGTCGTGGGAGTTACTACATCATTACGATAAATAAAAGTGGAAAACAACAATGAAAGATGTGTTGGAGCCGGCATCACCCCCAAAAAGGATCATACAGGTGTCCAGGCGACTAAGTGTAAGTACATACAGTAAATACGTGTTAGATCCTAGAGCCTTAAATTGCTCCATTTCGAGAGCAAAGAATTAACGAAATTGATAATTCGTATGAAGTGCTGAGATACCTGCAAAACTCCGGACCACAGGTGTATGCAGTGGGGAACGAACACGCGCTGTTGTCCTTACCAGGGAGCAGCGCACTCCATTAAGAAGAAAAAGGCAGTAAATAAAAGAGTTAAGATTGTGATTATAACGAGGCCTCAGTTTAACTGGGTTCAATGCCGATATGGGCTCCCCAGATCAATCCCGTTGACGGGTGATTGCTGATGGCAAAAAGATCGATAGAACTAGCTGAGATACATGGAAAGCGAAGGACCCGGATGGTGTAGTGGTGGGGTGCGCTGCTCCCCGGTAAGGACAACAGCGCGTGTTCGTTCCCCACTGCATACACCTGTGGTCCAGAGTTTTGCAGGTATCTCAGCACTTCATAAGAGTTATATTTCACAACATACCCTGCCATTAAGAAGAAAAAGGCAGTAAATAAAAGAGTTAAGAAATTGATAATATCAATAATCGACAACAGCAATACTTGCTTACTTGGATACATGGACGGCCCGTCCTCACTGGTTGTGCGGGGCCCCAGCACATTCACCATTTTTCAGAGTTTTGCTGCTTTAGCCACTGTGTCTTCCTGGAGTCCCCTCAGGTTAGTCTGGCCAAAGTATGTCTCAGGTCGACACCATCACGGGCATTTCTGATAGAAATGCCGAACTCTTTCTCAGCTTGGAAGACCCTGGCGGATGCATGGATTTTCCGCTGTATATCGTAGCCCCGCACCTAAGAACACCTCCTAGCCACGATGAAGCGGTAAAGCGTTGGGAGTAGCATAGCAAAAACACAATATTTACCTATATGAGTTTTGGCGAAGCTACGAGTTATTTGAATCCTATTGAATCAGTGCATTTCAGCAAGGAATATCGTCGGCTGTTCGACGAGTACCTCCATATCGGAAAAGTGAAAAATTTTTTCGGAGCCAAAAGCAATACAGTTGTTATCACACGAATAGTTCATCAGCAGCCACAACTATTTTCACGAACAAAGCGAGGATGATTTATGTGAAATAAACCTAGTCATGTGCAGATCTATTCACACATGGCGTTGTTAAAATCATTGTTAACGAATACTGTTGAGATATGCAGTGCAAATTCTATGTGTACATGAACAACTATGTGGTTAACTCACTATAAGGACTTTCTTTGTGGATACAAACTGGAAGTTTACATAACGGTTTCTACAAAGCTTTATTTAGTCCAATCTCTGTTTTGTTTCCTTATGATGCATCTAAAGGTTTTGACAAATAAGAAAATTTTTCTGGAACGGCCCCCATAAACTTTGTCTTGAATCGTTGTTTATCACGGGAGCTGGAATTTCCCAGTAGGAGTCGTATCTAGTAGAGACACGAATTGTAGCATAATTTGATTTATGGGCTCTTTAATTTGCTTGTTTCTCACAAGAGGTTAACAAATTCTGGTTAACCCAGTTCCTTTATAGGATTTAAAACACTCAGGATTAGCTTACAGCAGACTTTACAACAGCCAACTAAGGACCATTTGCTAATGGAGACTTCGAACTGATATCCCTCACATGGAAGAGATTTATGCATTAATACACTTTGACGACACTGGCAATTACAATTTAATAGATCGCTCAAGAAATGGGGTTGTAAACCTGCTCGTGATTTGTGATCATGATAACTTTGAAATTATAGAAGACGCCTGAAGAGATAACGTATAAAATCGTGAAGTTACTTGCTTCGTAAACATCGCTGTTCTCTCTCTCTCATCTATAAAAGCAATTTCAAGCAGAATTCAATACACCTACAATCGTCTGATTTCAAGAGTGTACAAGTGTATTTAGCACGTAAAGTGAAGCATGCAGTTCCTCGGATCCGTTGAGCCTCAGAACAAAGCAGTTGCTTTGGCATTCAATGGAGCCTCTGTACGCGCATATTATATTCTTCATCACTTTACTATCTTATCATTACTTGGTTACTTGGACGGTCCGTCCTCACCGGTTGTGCGGGCCGCAGCATAATCTTCACATTTCGGTGTTTCGCTGATTAAGCTATTGTTTCTCTGGAGTCCCGAGGTCAGCCTAGCGAAAGTCTGCCACAGATCGTCACCACCCTAGGCAGTCACAGTCCTTGTGGATGAAAGGGAGATTTGCCACCATGCGACTAGTTTAGTACCAGGACGGTGGTCGATCCTAGTATTGGTTTACTCTTAGCTAGGCTTCCTGATGGAAAATCCGGACTNCGTTGTATTGTATTGTGTTTTTATGGAAGTAAATGTATGCTGTTTAAAAACCTCGCGATTGCTGAGCAAGAAAACGACACATTCATATTCCAATGCCGAGGTTAAGAGAAAGTCGATCCTGGGAACTATTACAAGATGTACCAGCAAAATACTTTCGACTTGTGAAGGAAGCATTGTCACTAAGGCAGAAGATCGTCTTAGCTAGACAGCAAATCAACTTCCTCCGCCGCTGTTTTCAACATCGAGTCGTGCCGAAGTTTATAAAACGAAAGCGACTTCACGAGATATGCGGTCAACCAGAGGGCAGCCAACAAGTACGAGGCATCGAAATGGAACTACTTCGAGCTGCACTACGAAGCAAGCAGAACGAGATGTTTGCCAGAATGAAGAAGTGTGCAACGAAGGAACATTTTTGTGCTTTGTATTTGGAGGATCGCCTTTGGAGGAGGATAGTTGGTGGGTCGATATTGATATGCGATTTTATTAGATCTAATGCCAAAAGAACCTTACAACGGAAATTCGAAGACCTTTTGGGCAATTCACGCGTCTCAGCTTCAAGAAACTTCTCTCTCTCTCATCTATAAAAGCAATTTCAAGCAGAATTCAATACACCTACAATCGTCTGATTTCAAGAGTGTACAAGTGTATTTAGCACGTAAAGTGAAGCATGCAGTTCCTCGGATCCGTTGAGCCTCAGAACAAAGCAGTTGCTTTGGCATTCAATGGAGCCTCTGTACGCGCATATTATATTCTTCATCACTTTACTATCTTATCATTACTTGGTTACTTGGACGGTCCGTCCTCACCGGTTGTGCGGGCCGCAGCATAATCTTCACATTTCGGTGTTTCGCTGATTAAGCTATTGTTTCTCTGGAGTCCCGAGGTCAGCCTAGCGAAAGTCTGCCACAGATCGTCACCACCCTAGGCAGTCACAGTCCTTGTGGATGAAAGGGAGATTTGCCACCATGCGACTAGTTTAGTACCAGGACGGTGGTCGATCCTAGTATTGGTTTACTCTTAGCTAGGCTTCCTGATGGAAAATCCGGACTCCTTTTCAGCTCGAGAGACCCTACCAGGTGGAAGAATCCCGTCGTTGTACATCGCAGCCCGACACCCAAGAAGACCTCCTAGCCACGAATAGGCGGTAAACCTTCTTTGGGAGGCTCTCATCATTAACTTATGACAAACTCATATAGACTCAAGAACGGTTGAAGTTCCTAGAAATTCCAAACTAGCGATAGCTTACTGTTAAGCCTCACCTCTTCAAGAGAAGCAAGGTCCACATTTTTTGTTTAGGGTCTTTTGAGAGCTTCAATGCTCAGATTGTTATTCACCTGTCATAAACTTAACAATCTGGAGAACCACTAGCCAATAAAGTAGACCTCACATTGTCTCTCATACGCCTGATTTGTCTGTTCAACTGGTTTTAGAAATAGAGATTTTAACACGTGGAAAACTCCTTTGCTTCCGTCGTTGACAACGATCGAAACTTGGAATTTTTCTCCTCGTTTGTTTGAAATAGAATGCTTTTAGCATCATCTCCTCCAAGTAATCGAGAACAGCATTTTTCAACGGAATTGGAACGCCTTCACTTTCTTGAGCGACGATTCCTTAGACAGTAGCTCAGTCTCTAATTTAGGTATTGAAGCTGTGGAACCATTTTTTTCAACTTCAATTCTATAAGAATTTTCGGGGCGTTTCACAGTCAACGTATCCAGATTCACTTCATCAAATAATAGACGAAGAACTTAGTCGCACATGAGAAATTTACGAAAAGTCCAGCCAGCAATTGAACGTGCAACAGCTCAATTTCAACATGCAAAATATTGGCAGCAAATGCAATGACCATCGTTCTGAACCAACCAAACACTGTAGTTAAACTGATGATAATCAGTGAGTGATAAATTTGCTTCATACTGGTACTACCTGAAAAGCGTTCTAGATGCTTCTGATTTCTGTAGGGCGTTTTTGCATTCAATAAACCTCGGCATGAGATTCAAAAGCGCTCTGTCAAAACTCACTCATTGAGACTCTCTTAAGGAAAAAAAAACAAACTATAAGAAGCAATGATCAGGATGTTGAAGACCATGATGGAATTTATTCCTACATCATAAGCCAAGCCGCTCATCGATGCTGTGATAATGCAGACGACCATCCTAAAATTAAAGTTTCACCTAGTTTAGAGCAAACTGCACTTTTCTGTAATTTTTAAGTAGTTTCTTAACTTTTTGAGAGACAGGCGAAACGAATGACCCGCACAATGTGGGGGTGAACGCGTTGGACCTCGTAATAGCGCGTTCTTCCCCCACCGCAGTCACCTGTGGTCCCAAGGTTGCAAATATTTCAGCATCATTGTGGCAGTTTCTCAATGGCCACTATTTCTTTCTGTTAATATGAAATGAGCCGCTTCTTTCCAGTAGGGTATCTACTCATATTGTCGATTGTGGAACAACACCTGGTCTATATGTAATGCCATTAATTTTGGAGTGATTGACGGTCATCTGTGAAGCTTTCAATCTTCTTATCTAGTCTCTACTGTTACGATCAAGGATATAAGCAGCGCTTAGCCGCAAATATCCTGTCGAGTTTTTCTGGATTGAACGTTGGTTTTTATTTTGGCAGGAGTTATCGTGTACTATTTAACACATTCCTTCTAACGGTTTACCGCCCCATCGTGGCCGGGAAGTGTTAATCGGTGTCGCTATGTACGGCGAGGGATTCATTCTCCCCTCCCTCCTCTCCTCTCTCCCCAGTATTGTCTTTTAAGCTGAGAGGAAGGCCAGAAAAACCCAGCTAACAGTAAACCGATATCAACATCCACTACCGTCCTGATATCACACTAGTCGCATGATGGCAAATCTCCCTCTGATACACGCTGACTGCTTGAGGTGGTGATACCTTGGGCATACTTTGATCAGGCCGACGTCGGAACCCCAAAGAGCCGCAATAAATAAACCAGCAAGATTCCAAAAAATAGAGAATATACTGGGATCGCACAACTAGTGAGGTCAGGCCGCCCAAGTATCCCAGCAAGTAAGTTCAATACATTTACTTATGTGATCTTATAAACTGATCTTCTTAAGCTGACGCGAGGTTGGTACAGATCTTCGTTGTCATTGTCGTTGTCGTTGTCGTTGTTTTTGATGTTATTGATCGATGGCTGACGTTTCGGCGACTTCGCCTTCCTCAGAGCGTGGACGTACTTTATGATAGAATACTTTTTATTATTCGGTGGAAAAGAAGGTTAAAGTATTAATGAAGATCAAACTTTCAAATAGACGCCATTTTGAACAGAAAGGCCACCCACCGTGATGTTACGTGCGGGACTGGCCCACGCGTAGTTCAGTTTCGTAGCAAGACACGCCCCGGGGTCAAAATATCATTTTGAAATAGGGCGCCGGGTCACGCGTGATAGTGAGGCATTCGCCCTTCCGATTCATCTTTGGATTTTTGAAATTTATCCAAAACGCCTCAAGAGTTTTGCGCGTTGATGTTTTTGATTCCTGCGCTCGGATCCGCACATTCACTTCAAAATCATCGCTGTTGTGCTTTTGTGCCCTATGCAATTTCAAAAATCCAAATATGGATCGCGTCTCAACATAGTTGCTCTTCACCGAGCCTCCCATTTCCGGTTTAAAAACGCACTGCGTAATATTATGACCACTTTTCCAGTATGCCACACGTGAAGGAATTGCTTGGAAGGAAAGTGGCGTGGAAATGCTTATTGTTCTATTGAATAATTTCACCGACTATCTTACTTTTCAGGACTCTACCTCTAGAATACGCATGGTTACA